CCGGCCCCGCCCCTCACCGGCCCCGCCCCTCCCTGGCTCTGCAGGGGCCAGTGCTAGCGCAGGCGGCGAGCTTGGCCAGGTGTTTCTGTCCGGCTGAAGTGAGGAGTGGGACTGCGAGGTCCCAGAGGGAATGTCTGGTTCCAGGGTGGAGGAGGGCAGAGGGCCCTGCCTGTTCACTCCTCAGCCAGCCTTTGGGGCAGCAGACCTGTACAGGGGTGACGCCTGCGAGGCTTGGGCTCCTCCCCCACTCGGGTCTACTTATTTTCCCTTTGTCAGAGGTGCGTGTGCTCACGGGTGACAGACGGGAGAGCACCCAGTGGGGCTGTCACGCCCCAGTCCCTGCCCCGCCCCTCCTCCTGGTCAGATTTGGGGCACACAAGCACATGTACCCGGCGTGTCTCCGAGCTGCGTCGGAACCAGGTGGTCGGCCACGTGGGATCCGGCTCCTTAGCGAGGCCACAGCCCCCTCCTCTTCCTTCCCCTGCCCGGAATGTGACACGCCGCCCGCTTGTTCCTGGGGGTTTGGGCCGGCCACGAGAGGGCAGTGCCAGGCTGGTCAGTGTTGTGCTGTCGCGCAGGGTGAGGGCCGGGCTACACCCCAGCCCCTACACTCACACCAGCCTGAGGCTGTGGGCACCTTGGGCCCTCTAGGGCACATTCCTAGGACACCCCCTGGCCCTGCCATGAGGCACGCGAGCCCTGCCCAGCAGGCCTCTGCTTCTTCCCGGGCTTCGGCTCAGCTGGGGCAGCTGGAGGACCTCATCCCCTCCTGCTGCACGCATGCACACGTGCACACACGCCTTGGTGGCCTCAACAGCTCTCCCACTCCCACCTCAGGGGACCCGGAGCAGGAGGTGTTGCTGACCACGAAGACCCCCAAGGCCACGGTGGGAGGCCTGAGTCCCTCCAAGGGGTACTCCTTGCACGTCTTTGCCCTCACGGGCTCCGGGCGTGTGCTGCTGGTTCAGAGGGCCTTCGTGAGTACGTCCAGCCCACCGCACCCAGCCCGGGGTGGTGACGTCCCTGCTCACTCACACACTGCCTTGCTCTGAGTCCCTGCTCATTCTGCTAGGCCCTGCAAGGGGGAGGGCGCCTGGGGGGCAGGTCCTGACAGCTCCTGTGTCTCCGCAGTCCGGGATCTGAAGAGCAACACCCAGAGACCTCCGGGCGCGGCCCCGGAGCCCACACCCTCCCATGTGGGCAGCCCAGACCCGGAGCAGACCGCAGAGCCCAGAGTGACCTTCATCCCCAGCCAAGACCCACCTGTCCCTGGTGGGTGGAGGGCGCCTCCCCTGTCTCCCTTCACAGTCAGCCTACAAGTACTCTGGGGGCTTCCCTCAGTGCTCCTGCACGACTCCAGCCAGCACCGGGGTGGGGTCTCACCACCTCAGGCCCCTGGAAGATGCCCGGTGAGGAGCAGAAATAGCCCTGGGCCCGGGCCTGGGCAGGCAGAGCCACACACGACCTGCAGGGGCTGCAGCATGCCCAGGCACAGGCAGGGGCCTGGCGACACTGGTTTGCCCCAGAGGTCCCTCCGGCTTTATGTCCCTATCAGGTTGGGGCTGAAAGCAGGGGTCCACGGTGGGCATAGCCCTTGGGCAGGTCCCTGGGTCCAGCTCCTGTCCCGCCCTCACAGTGAGGCCTTTCTGCACCTCCCTGTCAGGCTCTGCACCCTACTAGGCGTCTCCAGGGTCTGGCCCTGCCTCAGTCTCCCAGGAGCTCCCTCTGGGCACCCCCACCCTGGGGACCCCAAGCAGAGCCCAGCTGTTGCATTGGCCATTGTTACTTGGCTCTCTGGGGAGGGCTTAGTGGGCCGAGGGCACCAATTAGAAACCGTGTGGCAGCTGTCTCTGCCCCTCCCCGTGACAACCCCAGGGCCAGAAGCCATCAGGGACAGGTGGTCCTGGGGCTGGGGCCAGGCTGGGAGCAGCTCAGGGGTCTCGGAGCAGCCACACCTGACCATCACCTCCACTCCTGCTGCCCCAGCTGGTCCCCAGTTCCGCTGCTCGCCCCCCACGCCCGCTGACATGGTCTTCCTGGTGGACGGGTCCTGGAGCATAGGCCACAGTCACTTCCAGCTGGTCAAGGACTTCCTGGCCAGTGTCATTGCCCCCTTTGAAATTGGACTGGACAAAACCCAAGTAGGTGGGTCCGCGCCCCCTCCTGCCGCCTCTGGGCTCAGTCCCGTCATTCCCTCAGTGAAGGGCAGCTCCCAGCACAGGGAGGGGCAGAGGCCACAGTGCAGGTGGCCTAAGGTCTGAACTGGAGGCCAGGAGGGGCTCCCCGCTGGCCCAGCCCAGCAGGGACTCCGACCCACTCCTCTGTGGAAGGTGCAGGCTTTCCCTGAGCCCCTCCTGGGGGTGGGACTTGCAGGAGCTCCAGATCTGAGCCCGCACTCCGACCTCCAGGTCTGACTCAGTACAGCGGGGAGCCCTGGACCGAGTGGGACCTGAACTCCTGGAGCACCAAGGACGAGGTGCTGGCTGCTGTCCGCAGCCTCCGCTACCAGGGAGGAAACACACGGACAGGTGCGGCCCACGCCTCCCGGCTCCATCCAGCCAGTCAGCCTCCCCTTACACTCCTCCCCAGTCGCGAACACTGCAGGAAGGAGGCCAGCAATGCAGGGCTGGGCCAGGCCACACCTCTGTCCAGGGCCTGTTGGCCACAGTGGTGCAGGCAAGCTTGTGCTCACACTCAGGCTGGCTGCCCACCAGAGTACACGGCGTGGCCGTGCTAGAAGCTGCCCTGAGGTCCCTGCAGGCAGATCGCCCACTCCCTCCACAGATGGCTGGCTCATGTCCTGGGAACCCCTGGCCGGCTGGCCCAGGGCAGGGTGTGGGGTGCTGCCTGGGCCTCTGGGGCAGAGGTCCCTGCTCTCGGGCACCCCAGCCTGGGCTGTCTAGTGCGAGGACGGGCAGGCAGGGCCGTGTCCTCTCTGTCCCTGCTGCTCCCAAGGCCTTGCCCTGGCCCACGTGCTAGAGAAGAACCTGAGGGCAGCAGCGGGTCCCCGTCCTGAGGGAGCCACAGTGCTGATTCTGGTGACGGACGGCAAGTCCCAGGACGACGTGCAGCCCGCCGCCCGCGTCCTCAGGGGCCTGGGTGTGGACGTCTTCGCGTGGGTGAGCTATGCTGTGGCAGCCTCTGCACCCTGGTGTCCCCCTCTGAGGAGAGCCGGCAGGCCTCTTGTGCAGGAAGGCCCGCCCGCCTGGCCGTGCAATCACGCATCCCTTCATGATGGGGACGTCTCACACGGCACTTGTGCAAACCCCCAAGCTCATGAGACCACCTTGTCTGCTCTGTCCATGGCGGAACTGCCCATGTGGCGTCGTAGCTGGCCCTGGAGGAGCCTGGGAGCTGAGACTCTCCTCGGTGCCCCGGGTCCCCTCCTGAGCACTCCACCAGCACTGGCGTGTGACAAGTCGGTGGGGCACGGTCTGGCCCCTGCAGGGACCACCTACAGGACCCTGCAGTGCCCAACCCCTAACACAAGGCCGCCCCACTTCCCTCCCTCACTGGGCCCCATCAGGTCCACGGGTCTGGGGCATGAGCTCAGACACGCCCGCCCTCCCGCTGTGGTCAGTGGGCACCGGCAGCGGCTCGAGGCAC